TGGCTAAGCTTTAAGCCATTTCAGTATAGAAGTACTAACTATATTTAGGAGTTGAAATTACGATAAATTAATTTTTCCATTTTACGGTATTTTGACAGCGTATTATTCAAAACAATTAGTCCCTTTGATAAATTTCGATAATGATATTAGAAGACGAAGATTATCAGAACTATGTGATAATCTTCGTCTTCTAATATCATTATCGAAAGCGTATTATTCACCAAGTTACTTTAATAAATCTTTTCAGTATTGTTAGTTATGGATCAAGGACTCATATTTCGTCTTATTTAGGATTTACTTGCAGTTCAATGTTGAGTAATATCCACTAAATGGAAAACAAATTAATATAATTTGATTTTTTTAAAATGTATATACTTTAACTTTATGTACACACTGAAATTCATCGATCATGTTCTTAGTTATAAGCTTCTCTTAACAAAAACAGTACTACCAATATACCATTTGACAAATTTTTGGTATTTTTTATAATTTTAACATAGTTTCTTTAACGAACTGATGTTTGGCCGAGAATGATTGGAAACCGGAAACTGCTTATTATTTGTTTCTTCTTGTTAGTGAAGCTTATTAACAGTTCTCACACGCGTACGCACTAGGTTTTTCTCGGATAATTCCACCTCGTTATGATGTAAACTTTGGACTACTGGAATTGTTTTCTTTTATTTCTAGCAATTGTTTCGCCAAAAAATGAAAAACGATAAGATAGAAAACTATGAGAATTGCACAAAAACTCTGATGCAAAGTGCTTTTGCAAGACACATCATTTTTATAATATTGAAAATGGAATTCAGATGATGAGGCCAGTGTGTGTATGCGTGTTTTCATATTATTCAGTAGCGTTTCGATAGATGTATAAAAAGTAATTTTTTATTTACTTTCATGATTAACTACTTTGTTTATTTTAACTCTGTTTATGCTCTGTGTATGTGTTTGTTAACAGTACGCCAGCAATTTCGCTGAATTCTTGCCCATAAATCACCCTGAAGACAGTCTCGACTTTAATTAGGGAACCACTGAAAACCACGGGAGAATAGATACATGTTTCATCCCAAACTGTGGTCTATAATAAATGAATTTGTCTCGTGAACTTGATACTCTGGACAAGACGGTCGTAGTATGTTTATGAATGAACATCGGCATCGGTTACTGACATACACGTTTACATGAAGTGGTTACGTCTAACTGACGAAACTCACAAACTAAGTTAGCATTTTAAAGTAGTTACTCTATGAGGAAGTCTGCAAAGAATATCACCGTATCCTTTATTTTTATATGTTTCGTGTTTTACGGTATAAAATGATTTCGTTTTAGTAACTGAGGTAGAAATCATACAATATATATCCATATTGTAATATCATTTAAGATGTTTAACTACAAGTTAAGCAAAAAGAATCAGGAAATTCATATTAAAATTAGAGATCACGGGTTATCTGTTTTTGGAGTGCATTTATTACTCACGTCATTCATATCAAGGATAATGAAGCGGTTAGTAGTGACTGTTTCTTTCTAAAAAAAAAATAAATGATGTTTATGTGGTCTTTATTCATAAGTTCAAATTACTATAAATATTTTGATATGCGATATGCTTCATTTCCATATTTCATACAGCATAATCATTGCTACAATTTATTCTACCACTCCATAGAGAAATTGAACAACATGAGGCTTATCATAAATTCTAGGTTCATTCAATAGGTTCTCTTGATAAACTTTTGTAAAGCGAACACAACAATATATTGTAAAATTAAATGAATTCATTTTATTTTGTGTTTTCTAAATCATCATTTGTACCAATAAATGAAATGTTTTACAATCTCAATTTCATGCGTAATATTTAAAAATTCATTTAATTCACTAGTGAAAAGGAATAATTCTACAAAAAAGAATGAGACGATGACTTCTTCGGATATAAGAACCATGTACAACTTATGACTGGAGTAGGCAAAACGATGACAGTGATAGCATTAACCAAAAATAAATGAAGTACGGTAATTATAATAATGGTGATAATAATAATTGACGAGGACTTGAGAAGACAGGATTAGTCAAATGCTTAAATGGATAAGGTGTCAAATATTTTACTGGATAATGTCAAAATAATAAGACTCTTCATAGTAACTATGGGTTGGAAATGAAGTGAAAACTGGACTAAGATAAACAATGCAACGGTTAAGACTAAACAAAGATAAAGTCAACCAAATAAAACTAAGAAAATAAAGAAAATGAAGAGAAGCATTGAATCGACCACCATGGCAGCTCTAAATGAAACGTTTCATTCAGTTGTACAGATCGGTGAATATGTAGTTGACTTGGAGCACACGAAATAAAATGAATTCACTTCATTTCAAAACGTTTATTATTATCACTTTAAAAGAGTTCTAGTATGTTGGCGAATTTTCAACAGTCTAATTGTTGACTGAGTCAGCTGTAATCCTAACCTCGGCCTATTTATTAAATAAATAATAACCATTTATATGACAAAACGAATTTTTGTATTGCTATACACTTTCCACCTCTTTTCTACCATAAATATTTGACAATTATACAGCTCGATACTATGACAACCTAAAACACCTTTCTTGTAACGCTTTCATATACATTTTAATATTATTTCAAGAAACCGACTTTTAAAACTAAGCCTTATGAAAATACTGTTGTTTTGGTATTGTTTATCTAAGATCAAAGATTAACAACAATCCGTAGAATAATGTAAAACGAAATTTTATAAATATATTTTCCCTCTTTATATTATTAAAATAATATTGATATGGAATTAAGAAAAATTAACTTGGCTGACTGATTATTATTTCAAAGGAATTTCAGTTGAGAAAGTATATTTTCTCCCATTTTATTCACAATCTGTTTTGGACATGTTACTATGTTACATATAATTATTCATTTATATTGTTTTTCTTTCAGTTGTGGTATTAATTTTTATGTTGAGTAGTTTAACTACAAAGCTTTTGTTGGTGTTCCGGACAATATTGTCAGCTCTTTCCTTGCTAGCAATAAACAACCACCACGTTGTAATACGAATTTATTGATGTCTGGAAGTCTTCGATATTACAACTTAGTTTCATAGAGTTTGTGTAGGGACGGAGGGTACTGAACATGATTAGTTTGCCCCACCTATGGGATTCCAGGTAAAGATAGCTTTTAATTTTATTGTGGTCTGAGTGCGCATTGAATCACGAGGACTGTTGCTGCACTTGTCCAATAGTTTTATTTAGAACCAGAAATCAATAACAAAATATTTAACACAAAAACAGATTGAGTAGTCATTTACAGTACTAAATTAGTCCATTATGTCATCCATAAGGTCATACCTATCTTTCCCACTAGTCAGTCGCACCTTGCGTTGTCTGAATATACTTACTATGTGATCTAGGATAAATAGCTATTCAATACCATACGGATTTCATTGAGTCTTCAGCTAGTGTCAATCGGTGTTAAATCTGCTTTTACTCCGATTACTAGATTTTATCCATTTTAAGAAATTGTAGGTTTTTTTCTGATTACACTTCTGTACTAGCCTATTTTTTAATTTATGAAGAAAACCAACTATATTGTACTATCCTAATACATAATTTTCTAGTTTCATTGTGAATATCAGTTGGTGTCGTCTAAATATAACGAAATTCACCACAATCGTACATATCCCCATTATTCGCTAATGAAATTCACCCTTAATTAAAATTTATATATATATATAGGACAAAACCGCCGTCTAGTGCTTCCAGGTTTTCCATGGTGGTCTAGCTTCAACTGACTGAGGATCTTAACCATTGAAATAATTTAATAGTTGAATTCATGAGTCAATTGAAGCTAGCCCACCATGGAAATATGACTTTTTCTAGCAATTTATTATTATTATTTTAGACTTATTCTGTTAAATTTCACCGAAAATTATTGCCTGTTATTAACGACCTTTAACAACAACCAAATGACCATATAGGCAAGGTAGATTGGACAAAGAGATGAATTAAATATTATTGATTTATTAAAGCTTTCGAAAGTCACTAAAAAGCGTACATTGTCTATCTTCTTTTGTATATCACTACAAAATTATTGTCATAATATAAGTGTCAGCTTCACCATAAACATAATGAGTCATTAGTGGGATATTTCTCTTTTTAAGTGTAAAATTATTCAGTAGTGTTTTCTATAACGATATTGTATTTGCCCGTTTTTTTTTAATTTGAAGTATTTATGTATATGTAGCTCGTAAAACTTTAAATTCTATCCTTTTTTCATCGTTTTCTTGACCTGCAATGTGGAATTATCAGCAAAAATGACAGGGATATTACTAGACATTTTGGAAGATTTACGTGGTTTATAAACATATACGGATCGTCTATAGGTTCTTCCTACTTTAATATTGGTTACTAGTAGGTAATAACGATTACACATTGCACAAATATCACAGTTTTTATTTCAAGAGTACATAATACAGTTATATGAATTAGATCGTCAGAAAAATTTCTAACTGTTTAAGTTGTCACTTAAGCCCAAAAGTAAATATAGAGTGCAGAAAATAAATTTTTCAAAACTTGTTTGAAATCACAAACGTATTGATTACCAAAAGTAGTAAGTACTGTTATGCTATTCCGTTGCTATAAATGCTGTAATAAAGGTTAGATACTAACGATGGTACTGCCGTAAAAACGACATTAGTAACAGGCTGAACTCAAGCACCAAATGATGCGTGTTAATATTTACATAAGACATATAATTTCCTTCCAACTTACAGTTAATCTTCACCAGTAAGTGTCAAAAACAAGGCACTTAAGTAGAGTTTCTTAACCATTCGGTTCATTCATTTAATATCATATACAATACACAAGGCTATCGAGCGTTTTATATTAATCCGAAACTGAATATTATGATCGAGGCAAATAGTTTATTATTAGCTTTGTAGACTGATGTTATTTGCTGATATCATTTGATAAGTTATATTTTTATCTTTGTCTTTTTTTACACAGATATTTGCTGTAATTTCAATAGCTTTCATCATATTATCAATAATTGGATTGAATTTAAGTACAATACCTGAACTACGTGGAAATTCGTCTGGAATTAATCATGATAATCATACCACAAGTAATGCAGATTATGTAAACGAACATTTAGAAACGTTAGAATCAATTTGTACAATATGGTTTACAGTTGAATATGCATTACGCTTATCAGTTGCGCCAAATAAATGTACATTTATTAAAAGTCCAATGAATCTTATCGATGTTATTGCTATACTACCTTATTATTTTTCTGTGATTTTTGAAGTATGGCTTCATTCCCCATTAGATTCACTTGTATCTATGCGTAAAATTGTACAAATGTTTCGTATTCTGCGTATATTACGTGTTTTTAAATTAGCACGTCATTCACAAGGTCTACAAGCACTTGGTTATACATTAAAGCAATCTTATAAGGAATTAGGTTTATTAATGCTATTTGTTGTACTTGTTGTTCTATTATTTTCAAGCTTAGCTTATTTCGCTGAAAAAGACGATAATAAGAATGAATTTCAAAGCATACCGGCTACATTTTGGTGGGCTATCATCACTATGACAACAGTTGGTTATGGTGATATCACACCAAAAACAGTATTAGGCAAAGTCATCGGTTCAGTATGCTGTATATGCGGTGTGCTTGTTGTCGGTCTACCAATCCCAATTATTGTTAATAATTTCGCTGCATTTTATCATGATCAAATGAGACGTGAAAAAGTTTTAAAACGACAAGAAGCTCATAATGAAGGTTGCCAGTTGGGAGATACGAATTTTCTGAAAAAGTCAAATATAAGTCAGAAAGCGTTATACAATAAAAGAAGTTTCAATGTTATTAGAGATCGTTATTCATTAGGTTCAATAAAATCAGAAAATGCTATTGAGCGTGATTATCACAGTAATTATAACAGTTGTTGTAATAAATTGACAAGTGAGAAGGAAAGAAACTTTATAAACAAAGAAATAGGAATCATTAATCCTAGCGACAATTTGATTAGATATAAACAAGTTAGTCTGAGTGTGAATGATGTCGATAGTATGGCTTGTGGTGAATATTATTCATGACATTTATATTTCCACAAATATAAATCGGTAGTATGTTTGAAAATGGGACTATATCATACGAATAAGATCAGCTTGATCTTTTTTCCTCCATCTCTTTGTCTATCTCTTAAACGGTTTTTTTTATTCATTTTTCCTTGATCATTATTTGCACTTCAGTCAACTCATGTTATCGACTATTCACACCAACAGATAAATACTGAATTTTTTTCCCTTATGTTCTTACCATTTTTCCTACAACTATTTGCACGAATTATCAGAATTTTCGGAGTCTGATGAAACAGATTGTTTATAAGTATAAACGACATCATTTATTTCATTAAATATAATTCTTTTAAATAGAAATAAAGAGAATTCAACGAAAAAATCTCTTTTCAACATTCGTTTTGATATTTGTATGGTAAATATATATCCATAAAATGATAGAAAAGATTGCATCATAAAGTGATTCGAGACTCTAATTATCAAACGAGGTTGCGTAGTGATCAGGAGGTTAGAAAAGAATAGAAGGATGAAAATAATTTACGGGTTAGAATTATCAAAGATAATTGTCCACTTGACAGATATGAAGAAAAATGAAAAACGTAAAGGTCATAATAATAACTGGATGATAATCATGGGAAATTGCTAAAGGATAATAGTAACTGATTACGGTTTAAAATTACAAAACACTAATTAAAAAAGAGCCGAAACACTACATGAGGGAATTTGGGCCAAGGAAGAATGAGAGGTTTGACGTATCATTTCCACACTCTTAGTTAGGGTTTGAATTGGTGGATCGCCAACGCCTCAGAAATGCATAGGTTTTTTATTCGACCTCCCTTCGATCCAGTTCCTTTGATTGTCTAGATTATTTTGAACGAAGACTCTGGAACGACGCGTCCGGAGTTGATTAGATGCTCCTGTAATGAATTGGTAACTTTTGCATTCGCCCTTTAAAAGCCACGCCGGGTAATGTTCTGAGATGCGTTTGGAAAGTGATAGCTTTGTGTGGCCAATGTAATATTCCCCACAGAAGCAAGTAAATTTAAAAATGCACATCGATGTGGTCCAAAGCGAAAGTTTATCAATAACATATCCATGAATGGTAGGCCGGCTTGAGAAGACAGTGCGAAGCTGAGCTGAGTAGATGGTTTCATTTAGAGATTCTGAAATCCGTTTGTTCGAGATTTCAGCAGCCGTATCTCTTTTAAGTCCGATATTCATAAAAACAGTTTTCATTTGGATCGTTGTTGCATTTTAAGGATTCTGCCTTGCTCTTAAGTTCCTGAAAACGAGTCTAGTTAGGTAATTATTTCTGATGAGTATCTGTCGAAGTTTAAGTAGTTCTTCATCCAGCGTGTTATTAGAACATATTCGCCTAGTCCATGAGGATAAAGAGTGAATTGTCTCTCTTTCTACTCAATGGGATTCGGGTATAGAAATTTGTATACTAAACATTCCACGTCGGTTTCTTATATATAAATCTCTGCAAGGAACCATCTGACCTTATTTTCAACCGGACATCGAGAAAATGAGATTCCTTGTTCTCCTTTGCTTCCAATGTGGTTTAAATTGAGTGATGACACTTGTTGAATCAATGCAAAATTTCACTGGAATCCATATCTTCACAAGTAGTGTATCATCCATATATCTCTTATATAAATGAAATCTCTCAATTATTGGTCGAAGTGCTGTATTTTCCAGACTGACCATAAAACAATCGGCCACAGGTTCGAGTATTTCCAAAATTTTTACTAACGATTCTGAAAATAATACTTACTTGAAATTTACAATGTGCATGATATCTAAGTAACAGTTACTTTTCAGCTTGCTTTGTTGACTAACCATATTTTGTAATAACGACACAGTAATGTTAACATCTGGTGGCTCATGTAAACATTAACGGAAAATGTTTTTCTCACAGTTTTAAGGAAACTAAGTTGTTTTTTTTACTCTAACAATAATAACGTTAATAATAATCTCTGCCTTTTTCAATTGTTTATTTAATAATGCTATTTACAACTTAAGCAAGTTCAAACAGTATTTAATATGAAGCAAGATAATTAAATAAAACAATAAGTTTAACTTCTGATTACAAGAGTGATGTTATTTTTATAGTAGGAATGTGATAAGCAAATAAACATACCGCTAACTATTTTATGATGAAATAAATCAAAAACGAAATGAGGTTTTTGTCAACAGCGGACAGCATTCCACAAAAGTAAAAGTTTATTCAGTTCCCAGTAAAGCACGTCTGTCCACTGTTATTTTGATCCATCTAAGAATTCTTCATAATTCTTTGCACTGTTATTATCAACTGAGTGACTGAGTTAGTTTAGGAGGATTAAGAGGTAGTCTCAAGCAACTCGTTTCCCTTAATTCAATGATATTCATCAATTAACTCACAGATATAAAATGTTCAAAAATTTTAAATAAGAATGTAGCAGCTGACTAGGTTTAGTACTTCGTGAATAAGTTTATTCTGAATATACATGCATCACATGATCTATATATAAACTTGCCAGGCGAAACGTTGGATTCACTTCAAATTCATTCGCTGAGATTTTACGAATACATTCTTTTTAACTTATACGGCATGCTGATACAGGTCGCTTCATCCTACCACAATGTATTGTTTGTTTATTGTATGCATCATGTGATGTGGACAATTTCAATATTAAGTCGATTGCTTTATATACACTGAATTATTTTATGCAGCTGTTTCTATTCACGGTTGGAGTACAGAATTTACGAACTATTCTAATGACATCAATACTGCTACTACTACTACTTCATCTTGAATACAGTTTGTCAGATATGCTGAAATTGACTGTTTTTGAATTGAACATCATTTAAGACAATTTGTGATGATTAATTGAATACATTGATATAGAGATTAACACTACTCCGCATTCAACTATTTCAAATCGAGCATTTCTGAGATAAAAAGTAAACAGAACTGATTTTTGTACTATTCCTCAATGTTATCCTTAGATAGCAGAGTGAATTAGTTTAATGTATATGATGTAAGCTTGATTTACAATCAGCAGAACATCCTAAATCCACAAAGAACTAACAGCATTCCATATTTCTTACCTACAACCTGTGTGATCATGATACTGATTTAGAAAAATTTTGTTGATATCTTTGTATTCATTTCAATCTAGTTTTAAGTCTATCCTACCACAACTAGCTGGTTTCTTAATGTAAATTATTATCGTTCTAAACAGCTGAAAATGTCAATTTTTTTTCTTAAAAGCTGGAATAGTTTTCTCTTTTTTTGGTGATAAATATCAACTTCAGCTACTTTATTGTTTTATAAAAAGGCACATTTGAATAAATAGTAAAAATCGCATTCCATGATACTTTTTATCACATATTTTTATAAAACTGTATGATAAATGTGAAAAGTAGTCGTTAGTTATTTGTCTATAATACATAAGCATGCAGCGTAGGAAGTTGTTGTTTTGTTATGGAAAATTTCGATAATCAATAAGACTATCCTGGGAATATACAATTACTGACAAGCAAACAAAATACAAAGTGATGTATTAGATTATTGGAATCCAACTTCCCATTAGACTAGTATTATATTTTTCTAGGTACTTGTTAGAAAAATAAAATAATTATATTTATGAATTTCCTGTTCAGCTTAGAAAGCTTTCATTTGGTGTTTTGAATAATATCCTAATTTGAATTCATCGAAATGTACGCTACAACATGTTTTAATTTAAAATAATTTTTAATATAAGGGATTCAAAAAAATCAAACAATACGCAATAAAAATAGCTGTGAATATACACAAAATTAGTATCAACATGACACAATAAACCCAACTAGATGTTTGGGTCATTTCAATCTCGTCATTTATTGTAATGACAGATGAAAATCTACCCTACCGTTCATTCCTGATTCATTATGATCCGCATTCAACATGGTTATGAATTAGTTAATAATCGGTATAATACAACATTTATTGTCGAAATTTATGGTCTACATTTAATGGAATTAGAAAACTTCATAATAAGAATCAAATATATGGACGACATTATGGCTAAATGTAACGATTTTCAACTGACTGCCTACTTTAAATTATTCATCACATTTCGGTTTTTATTCAGACAATTGTTAGGACTGTAAGCAGAGATGTATAGCGGGATCCAGAACGTGCTTTTCGTTCTGTATGGGCCTCGTTAGCTGGATATACCTAAATCCCGAGTAGTTGATGTTCACTCCGCAACTCGAACCAAATAGCAGTTACTTCAAACGTCATCGCGTTACCCACTTACCTGCTGGGTAGCCAATGCTAACAACCATCCATTTCTGTTTATAATGCTCATGACTTCAGGCTATATTGAAGCGGTCCGCATAGGATGCACATATGCCAGTAAGAGATTAATCAATTACAGTCCTTAACGTCAATACAAAAATGAATTATTAGGACTATTCAAAAAATGAATTGACTGCAGTAAACCAACGGCTGAAGACTACGGAATACTGTAGGGACATTTTATTGTAGTTACTAACTCCTCAAAAGTGCATACCCACAACCCATTAAAGGACCAAATCTACAAAATTTGGGTAGTTCAGGAAGAATCTAATCTTTGGACCATTGCGTCAACACTTAATAGCCCACTTTTAAACGTCAACTGGTTAATTTTACTGCATAACTATAATTAGTTTCCTCCCGTAACCCTTATTACACTAGCCGTATTGTTAAATGAGCGACTGGACACAGTTTCTGCATAAGTCTGACTATTATTGAAGCATTAGCTTCACAAAAACTTCAGATAAATATTTCTATCCTGCAGTTTAGTTTAACTTCGCAGGTAATCAGAATTGATGAACTGTCCAAAGCTTCATCTGTTGGTTTATCTCTGTTCTTTTTTTGTTAACCATGTATGTAGATGTGCTCAGAAAGGGTATTGTTTGTTTAGTTCCTCGCTTCATAACTTCAAGTGGATTGATAGATGGCTTCAAGTAGCAGTTTATTCGTGACATATTCACTAGTTAGACTACCACTAAGGAGGAAGATCCTAGGCTCAACAGAATAAAAGGGTTTCTTTAAGATAAAACATTCGCAAACAAAATCATTGATACTGTTAGGGATCTTACAATTTGCTTTTAGCATTGTATGTTTCACCCGATGATCCTGTAAAGGTGGCTGTCTTCGTCAAATAGTTCCTGGAATCCATTATTTTGTTCGCTGATTGCGTTCTCAGTGCTTATTTGTCTGACTCTTGAGAAAAGGTAATAACTCAAGTTTATTTTTCTGATAACTAAAACCCTTTTCTAAGTCAGTTGGCTTTTGACATATCGGTCGTCGTTTTTCGCTCAACAAAACATGTAGAAGAGAAAATCTTGAGTTTCCCTCTGACTCTAGAG